TACAAAATATAAAAAGCTTTGGACGAGTAGAATAAAGATTGAGTTGAACTAGGCCAGGGCTACCGAAATCTTTCCGGCGTCCTTCGTTGTTTCCGTTTTAGCTCTAGAATCCACAAGCAACAGTTGTCTGGATCTGGACGCATTCCCCTCCCCCCCCCGAAGCTGCTCATGCGCTGTTCTAATATCGCGATAAGGCGGACTTCAACATCGTTCGTCACCTCATTATGCTGGCTCCAATGTAGGTGGTCTGCGGCCGTTTGAACGACCGTTCGGCCTAAAAATGCGATGAAACTCGTTCAGAACTGGTTGAAAGTCCATCCAAGCATTCTCCTTCAATGGTTCGCTTCGGAAAAAAAAGCAAATTCCGTTTCATCGGACTTGTGGGTGTTTGTTGCTTCCGCTTGGCCCCCTCGGAATTGAACCTCATCGCTTCGTGTGGGAGGTGCATCTGTTACAATACTCGAGCGTTTGTTTACCTAGCTGTGTCCCCGTATCCTGGATTTGATCAGTGGTCAAGTGGTGCAAGCGGTCATCGGTATCTCTTATCCTCGTTGATCCGTGCGCTTCCCGTGATGGACCTCATAACCACAAGCCCTCAAGTTCACAGGAATGGTCCAAAAATGGGCATGGGGCAGGCTTTTTCTATTTGTTATGCGACGCATTTGTGGTGGATAAATGCCCGGCAGCACCCGCTGGATCAGCTGTCGACTTGTTTTTAATCCGGATTTTGTTGAATTTGTTTATGGGAGACTCCCTGGTTCTCTGCCAAACATCATTTAGCCTTGTGGCAACTGTTTTGATGGCGTTCAATTTTGTTAATCGGACAACTGTTACTGTTCAGAGCAGTTCCGGGCATCCTACGTAGGTTTTCACTCCTACTCTTTTTCTCCCATGAGGTTGCACTTGCAGGGAACTCCCCTCCCCTCTGAATCAGATTGGATTGGCGTCTATGGGAATATTTCTATGTGCGTCGGTCACGCTGATTCTATCTCGATCTCTCTTTTTTTAAGAATGAACTATTTCTTGGCTGCAAAATATCGCTTAAGGACATTGCCATTAATTCTTAATCACAACAGAGATCTAGAAGACTAATCCCCGAGGATCTCACGGAGCCCTTAACGCGGGGGGCGCGTCTTTCTACTTTTTTAAATAGCCTTCCCTTGCCAGAAGTGCGCGTAGGTATCTTTTTGTTTCGAGGTTGCGGTCCCCTGGCAGACTTCCCAAAAACAGGACGAATAGCCTTAAAAAAAATGAAATAGATTTTTGCCAACCCGAAATAATCAAAGCTTGCGCTGTATTTTGTCATTGTTCCCGCTTACAGAATATTATTTACCGACTATCAACTTTGACCGTAAAGCTGCCTAAGTACCTTAGATTTGCTTGTTATCACTTTTTGTGAGGAGCTGTCAGGATGTCAGGTTTCCTCTAGCCGGACGCACAAAGACGTACACTTCTATTTCGGAAAAGTAGAGACGCGTCGAGTAGCAGACCGAGCAACGACCAAAAGTGACGAACGGCCAAGGAAAAAAGAAGGAAAACAGCTTCTTCATGACGCGTCGTCATTGTATCGTTGTCTGGCTCTCCGAGCCCATTGTCATTTCCCGAATAGTGGTTGGCTGCACCCATGTTCCCAATGAACTCAATTACGAACTTGAAAATTGTCACCCAACACTCTGAAATTACTTACCAACACTTTACTTGAGCTTGATTGAAACCCGATATCAAATAAAACAATTACCTTTCAGAAGCTGATTCGAAGGGCAGGTGGCATGGTGAATTTTCTGAACATATAAAAACGAAGCGCGCGAAAAGGTGAAGGTTGGGTGGTGATCTTTGCCTACCAGAAGGGGAGCCTGGCCTTGAGGATCGAAAGTGGCGCTAATAAAGCAAAAGGACCTCGTACGAAGCAGAGAGGCTTGCCGTTCTCTTTTGCCGCCTTTTGTGCCTCTGCCCCGCCTTCCAGTTAACTGCTGTCACCTGCTTTTTTGGGCTCGAGCCCCTAAAACGGGCAAGACGGAGTGGTTGATCAGTTTAGGTGAGTCTTCAGCAGTTTGTAAGCGCGTCTAACGCGGCAATTGAGCGGGCAAAGAATGAGGTGCCGTTAGACGAGGCTGATGCTCCCGACCGTTTCTCCTTCCTTTTTCCTTCAGACAGCGCATGTTCGCATCTCATTTTTTATGTCCAGCGGGCGATCAATTCAACGTACTATCTGCTCCAAAAAAGCCGAAAATCACTGACACTCGCCCGATTCTCTCCTTGCTACTTTTGGCTTCCACTTGAAATATTGTACTTTTTTACCTTTCGCTCAGTTTGTCATCCGCTATAATCCTTCAGTATGCTGATCGAGTTCCAAAGCAGTTTTTTTGGATCCGGAAGGGAAAGGCCACCCTCAAATGTGAAAGTGTGCGGATTAAATCAATGCAAAAAGCATCCTTGTGCGGCCCTTTGCGTAGGTGACCCATTGGATGCACAGAATCTGCAGAGGACCAACTAATTGATGCATCGTAAATAACCCAAATGCATTCGCGCAAAAGACGCATGTTTTGGAAATCCGCCGAAGGCATGGACGAAATAGGAACGGAAGTGGTGTAGTGGGCCGACAGTGGCACCGCTCACCACGCGAGCGGTCCGGGGATCAAATCCTGGGTCGTGAGTCGCCCGGGCCAACCAAGCCTTCCATCCCTCCGGGGTCGGTTAATTGGTACCAGACTTGTCTGGGAGGATAAAAAACACTGACTTGTACATCGGCTGGCCCCCGCAAGTCATTGTATAGGCCACATCGCATTCAAACGCCACTGCGAATGTACAAATGGAAGTAGAATGCGTGCCGCATCCCAAAAAGGGATTGATCAACGGCAAATGCTTTATCCTTTTTTATCCTTTAACGGGCGAAAGAAAGAACTGGAGTGATTCTGCACATGTTGATCGGAAGGAATTAATACAAGTTTCATAAACATTTTAGAATAGAAGTTTCCGAAAATATGTCCACCTGACCCAAGAACGGCCCTTTGCAGAGTTATCACTCAAAGGTAAAGGCGTCGCATCATGCAACGAACAGGTGGCTGCCTGCCCGACTGCTCATATTGCTCGTATGCGATATGAATAGTAGCTTGTTTGCGTGTGAGCGAAGTGCTCCGCAGCGATGAGTGATGGGCGGGATTTCTAATTTTACAACTGCCCATATTACATTTCATATGCGGGTTTCGGGCCCTTGCGTCATCTGCTGATCTGATTTTTATCGATCAGCATTATTAGTTCTCCATCCATCATTTTGAACAATAATTTCTACAAGATGTACTCGATCTTAACCGCTTCTTTCACTTTCTTTTTGGAGGTCTCTGTCATTAAGTCCTAAATCAACTTGAGTGTCCTATAGAGAACACGAGGAAATCCATTCTGTCCAGGTAATTTATTTTTGGTGGATTTTATCCCTTAATAATTCAAGTCTCTATTATTACGAAGCACTGGAATATTCACCCCGTTTAGGTAATTGAGGAAGATCGGTACTCTAATAGATTTTAGATGTGAAGTCATGAGTTTTGAAGTTTATCCTCCACAGACATATTTTTCCTGCTTTCAGTATTGTTTTTATGCGCTCAGTCTGTCATAATATTCCTGTACTTTAATTGTAAACAGTAGCCAGAAAATAAACAAATAAATTATTTGGCAGAAGCGGGGCGGCTCTTGCTTTAGAGTCCCGAAATTGAACCCATTATGCGGTGAATTCGAGTGAGAGCATCTAATTTTGATGACTGGGTCCTTGTTTACCTACCTGGTCCCCATGGTCATCATCATCACCTTTTGATTACGCATAATGACCCGCATATTAAAGGTGTGCGGTTGCGAATCTGGCGTCATACCTAATTGCTGCCTGTTTACCTTCGGTGCAACCTGCTGCAGCCATCCTCAGCTCATTTCTGTTTTATCCCCGAGTATTCAGCCCTTCCGATGGCGCTGATCGAGAATCGTCCCAATTTTCGACCTTTTTTAGAGACTGAAACTAGTATTTGTGAGCTAGTATTTCTCTGAAACTTTAGTAAGGCTTATCTTAACTAACATGGATTCTTGTTTTTTTTTTGTTTGATAACTCCTTTTTACGCTGCAGTTGGCGTTGCGAAAGTCATCGCAAGAATGCTGTGTTGTGGGCAAAAATTACGCCCAGTTGTGTAACTGACTAGCTAGCACAATTGCTGGAAGCAAGAAGATTGGTACGATCTCGTTTGGGGGCGAAAGTTTCGCCACAGGAATTCTATTGAATCCGAAATCTGCTCATATCAAATACTAGTAGCTTGGGGGTTAAAAAGTCGAAAATGGCTTTTTAAAAATTTTTGCACAACATCCCGAGTCCTAGGCCTTTATTCGTGAAATCTCTGTACGTTGGTTAGTGAAAACTCACAAGGCGCGAGGAGAGAAGTAAGAGGAGTATAAGTAGCTTATTGTCCTACACGGGGGGGCCCCGGCTTGGGGGTTTTGACTTCCGTGCTATATTTTAGTAGTTTCTTCTATATAGGCGTAGAGTTCCATCGAGGACTGGTTGGTTATCCGGCATTATACATCACGGAACAGTCCACTTTTCCGAGTTTTTGCACACCCTGCAGTCATAAGGAGTTGCGAGCTAGAAATGATTTCTCGAGTGACGAATAATCCCTTAGGATGTGAGGATGGTAGTCTGGTTATTTCTCCCTGAGCAGCCCAAATCTCCTACTCGGCTAACGTTTCGGCAAAATTGCCGTCTTAGTTTGCAGAGTCTAAAGCATATCCCTGAACTTTAGTTTTACCCAAATACACTCATTTTGGATCAAGGTCACCAATGTTTTGCACCTTTTCCATTCTGCATGGTCGGCTTATCCTTTTTTTCTGCTGTACATCATGGCGTTATGCAGTTTCACATGGCAGTGTTTACTTGAACACCACACGTCTCGTTTCCGATTTCATCCCCATCCAGCGAGTTGATAGTGACTGGATTTGTTGTCCGTTTCTTAGCTCATGAATTGCTGAATGTGCTCTTGAAGTCAAAAAATGTTTGGAGATCTTTTGTTGGCTGTGAATGACACCTGATGATCTTGTTCCATGCGAAGTTGGAGACTTTGAAGAGGAGGGGGGGGATTGATTATTTTTAATGTACTTACGCACACGGCAGGAATGGCCTATACTATACCGATACCAATTTCTTTTTCCTTTCGGTTCCTTTCCTATTTCAGAAGTTTCAAATATTGGAACTTTCAGAGTTTTTCTAGTTTGTTACTGCTAAGCACTCGAAGGGAACCGTGCTGTAGAATTCCAAGTTTGTCAACGCCGGTGTATTGTCGCGACCCAGCTATCCGGTCTGGATTGGTTGACACCAAACCAATCATTAGTTGTTGAACGGGATCGGGTTTCGATGCTTCATATTATTCCTGCGCGTTTCAGAAAGGTAAACTTATAGAGAATGAATTTAAATAATAGCCAGATAGGCAATTCCGATAATTGAAACTTCTTAGCACAATCACTATTTTTTAAGCACCATGAAATGGGTTGTTATCGTTAATTACCGTTCAGCTATGTAGGCTGTCCCGAAAACATCAAACGTGTGTTTGGTTATTCTTGAGAGTCGCCAAAGTGTGGGGCCGCCCATGTACGGCCATGCGCAAATTTACCGGCTGTGTGTGCGTATGGAATTGTGTGTTTGCACGTGGGCCGCAGCACTTCGTGACTGATATGTCCACTGTGTTTTCACACTTGTTCGATTCACACTTTACATGGGTTGGGCTAGGGCATGATTGGCAACACTCGAGCACTGGAAACGCGCTGGGTTCCTGCTAAATTGCGCGGTATGTTGTGAGGTGAACAGTGGCCGATAGCAAGTTTCTGCCACTGCCATATGCTCAATTGTCCTCATTAATCGCGTGAAATTGCTTTGTTATCGTGGGTCTTTATTCCGAAGCTGGTTCTCGGAGGATTGATAATGTCAGCGCCGAAATCCCGACTGCTTTTAAGGGTGGCCGCCCCACAATGAGTTCAGGTGGATCAGTTGCCTCGGTGCTGTAGCAAGCGGTCCACGATGGTCGCAGATGTGCTACCATCGCGGTTTTAAACTTCGCAGATGCGTTAGAGGTTTCCATCCCCCGCTAAGACTCTCTCTTAGGATCCCCCCTCAGCAGCTTCGTTTGTCATCTCCGCTCATCTCTAATCCCTCATTGTATTCGTGCGTGTTTTTCCTTTCGGTTCGCAGTGTTTCTTAGTGCCCTGACGTCTATCTACTTCATGAAATCCCCAGTGGCTGAGAGAGGAGGAGGTCTTAGCTCCAATTATTGGCGGGGATTTGTTCCTTTTTCTTCACTAGCGGACCACTTCGTGACTCAAATTCCACATTTGAGCAACAGGCAGCAAGCGGAATTTGAGCAATAGCAACAATTGCTGAACCATTTTGATCGTAGGATGTGTCTTTAAGTTCAAGTTGGCTGCTCATGACTATCACCTAAGGTTGTATGGTTGTTCAAGTATTTGGTTAGCATCTAAATATTGACATTGTTTATCATGGAATTAGATCACTTAGGCTGTTTTGCTGGATGATGTTTCCGGCACATAATGCTTTCGATGGTGAACTTGTTTTGCATTTCCACCAATGGGAATAGGTCCAACAGTGGAGCGGAGACTGCTGAAAACTGGTACCTGTGAAGATAGTAATAGTGTTTTTGCCTCGCAACGAGGAATGTTTTGTTGCATGTTTTGTTCGGCTGGTATCTATTTGTATGGTAGTAGCGACAACATCTTTCCAAGCCACGTGTAACAAAAATTTGCCACTAATTTTAGGAGAGCAGTGATTCTGAATTGGATCCTGATCTGTTGGAACCGCCCACAAAAAGGATTCGCAGGTTCACGGATCACTCGGCCAACGACCGGTCTGAAGAGGAAGAGGTTCGATCGCGGCTCGATTGTAAGAAGAGGAAGAAAGACATCGAAGCGAATAACAGGATGGAGAGAAGGTTTCTTTCAGTTCATACTTTGAGATATAAAAAGCATAAGAAAGGGACCGATCAAAATTCAATTTTCTTGGCTTTGATGGCTCTTTTGCTTCCCCAAACAAATACTAAAGCCCTAAAATCTCATGGATGAGAACGCAGCCTTGCTACTGCTTACTGCTACCAATCCCTTGGTGAAGTTAGAGTTCAATAAGTGCTAGCAGAAGAAGGTTTCAAGAAAAAATATTAAAACTTGGAAAAAATTCTCTTGCCCTGAATCGGGCGTGTTTGCAATGACGAACCTACTGATTATACTTATATCCATAAGAATTGAGGAGCAGCTCTAGACTCTTTTTCACTTTCCTGGTTCAGTCAAAGGCTTCTCGAGAGAAAAAGGTCTGTTCGACGAGAACGGGAGTTCACGTTAGTATTTTGAAGTTCGTAGCAATGTGACGTGAATGAGATTTCAGTATCAACACAAATGCTACCCGTGAGTATTCACCCGTGTGTTTGACAGTTGCTCTGTACACATCGTATTTGATTTCCTTAGAAGTCTGTCCCTCAAGCGTTATTTTTTGAATATGAAATAAAGCATCCTCAATGAATACATTTCACGATGGAATATTCATCAGCTAAGTGAATTACGATCCATTGCAGCAGGGAAGTTTCCGTGTCTTCCAAAAAATCACCAGCTATTGGAAGGAAATGGGACTCAGGAGTGCTTGATATCGGTTATTCAAGCGGAGAGAACTCATTGCTGGATGTCATCACTAACGCAAATACGTGCAGGTCCCAGAGGCCATTTTCCCAAGGCAGCCGTCCTTGTCTTTTGGTAATTATAAAACTGCTATGGTAAGCAATATTTTTGTAAAAATTAGGGTCTTATCAAGAAGTACGCGAAACCGATTGCCTTCGTCTCGAAAAATCACGTCGGCTGTAGGCGAATCTATTCGAATAATGATTCGGGCTTATCAAAATAACAAATGTGATCGCCAGTCAATTTCTAATTGGCCCCATATCAATCCACTCTTTCTGATATCCGTACAAATGTTTTGTTGCGTCGCATCTTCGATTTATTTATTATTTTACTTTATTTATTCTATTTATTTGATTTATTTATTGTCATTTTTTATTTATTTATGTATGTCAGTGACGCGCGCACATTGAAAAGCATTGAGCTGCTACCGCAATCATCCTGCAGACTCAGAAAAACTAATAAATCAAAAAAATAGCATGGAATGCCACGAAAAATAGTGGGCTAAAACGTGAGCCTGCCATAAAACCGTGCTTGAGGTTAACACATAGAAAATAATTAAAAGGCGCTATCGGCAAGATAACGGGGGCATGGGGCGGCAGTGCAAATCTTGAACGCGTCTCAAAGTCGTCTTTTTGTCATACACCGCGAGTAAGCCTGGAACGAGGGGTGGAGAGACCCAACGTGGATCAAACAAACAGATTCTCATTTTCTCATCGTCCTGCTCCTCCTTGGGCCCGCAGTGCTCCAAGGTGCGCCGCAAACTTGGATATGACGTAGCAGCTTAAACAACACGGCACAGCGGGTAGTGTCCCCAGAGCCGAGCAAGTTCTGACCACCTCGTCCGGACACGTGTGAAAGATGTGCGCGCCCCCTTACTCTCAAAGGGGCAGAGATGAAGTCTTCCTTTAAGGCTTGCGCTGGGATTGTTTTGGTTTCCTTTTTTGAATTTCAGTCCAAACTTCGCATCAAGCACATTTGCTCATGATCATGGGTTACCCTCTTGATCTGGTGTTGTCTGCTTAAAGGATTGCCACTTGGTATTGTGTATTCTATTCTAACCATTCCATCTTCAAACTTGACTCCTTTCTCGATGCGCAACATCTACCTACAGGCCCGGTAGAATCCTGCTTGGTTGAATTGCTCAATCTTGATTGTTACACTTTACGCTGACAGTCCCCAAGGTAAGATAACTTCCTTCCGAAGTAGGACTCCATAATTGTCGTTTTACTCTCTCTATTATTATTACCACTCATTTGGACCTTCCATTTTATGGTTTAGCATGCATTTTATTGCACTTTCACACAATGCAATTGTGAACTATTTTTTTGACCCCGTATTTTTCTGACGGTCTGGAACCCATCGCATTCCACAGACTGTAACAGTGATCGCAGCGATCATCTGTGCCCTCAATCATCCCCATTTCATCGATGGGATTGCATCAATCACTGTTTTTCTGCCAGCCTCTGTACGAGAGGCTCAGGATGTGGAATTTGAACCGCCATCCTTCAGTGGTGCGCAACGCGTGGTCATCTGACCCTCGCCTACGGCCTAAGCCTTTGATAGAGGTGCTGGGAACAATATTTGACACAACTTAAGTTCATGGCTTGATTCCCACTAGATCAATGTTCCATAAAATAACTTTCGTTGTTGCTCGCAAAACCCTCCAGTAAGTGATAATACAGACACCTATATGTATAACAACTTGAACTCACCTGTAGTAGAGCGAGAATTCTGGAATCCAAACATCCGACGACGCGAGAAAAATTTCCGTCGCACCTTCGTAACTGGACGGGTTCCATTGTAGAAATTCGTCAATCCAGTACTGAAACAGAACATTTTAATCGTTTTCGCAGAGAATCTGATCAATGCACTTTTTCGCTTGATATTAAACACAAACAAATCCGGTTTCTTCTTTTTCGCAAACGCGAACATTCTTTTAATAGATTGGGAATGATCGATGGCATGAAATGTTTATGGCAATGCCCCTTTCAGCTTTCTTCTTCTTCGCTACGTTAAAATTGATCAAAACAGGCTCCGATTGTCTTCAAGCGGCAGTACACTACCCAAAACTGACAATCAAATGTTTCGATCAGCTACAGCTAATCAAGAAGAGAATTTTGAACCTCGCTTAGGTGGAATCTATTGCAAACAGTTCATTTCACAGTAAAAGGGAGTGGGGGAGCGTCCGCTCGGAGATGGACAAAAAGAAGTTGGCTCTAGTGAAGAAAAAGGGGAACGATACAGCCAAAACACTTGAAGTAAAGAACTTCGTCTTTTCATGAAATGGGGTGTGCTAAGCGCGAGAGACACTGAGCGCCGACGTTAAAGGCAAAAGTCAGGCTCGTGTTTGGGCATTATGGCGCCTGAAATTGAGTGTAGAGATGGGAGGTGGAACGACAGTGAAGAAAAAACGCAAAGAAACCGTCGACAAGACCGAAATCGAAACCCCTTCCTTCTAGCAGTGAAGGAGGCTTGCTCGGGGGAGAGCCACGTCCAAACGAGTTTTCCGGATATGCCAGCCGTTCCATCGGTTGATACGGCAATCAACCTAGCTGATCTCACACGTTAGGCCAGCCACGCACCACATCCCGCGGTGGGCGGGACCAGCTGATGTAACGAACCCATCGCTGTAAGTAGTAGGCCAGAGGCCTTGACGGCGCGCAATCTCGAGTCAGGAGTGTGGCATCACCCCTCTGAGCGCATTCCTGGAAATATTAGTGATGGAAAGGCCTTCTATGGTCACCTAATCCTGACTCGTGGCTTTAAGCGTTTGGACCGGTGAGCACCCGAAGGAAGCAGGAATCATGATGTTCCTGCTGTAGTACACATACAATGCGCGACGCATTTGACGCGCTGAACGTGCGTGCTCACCTCCCACTATTCGTTTTCTCTGCGCTCTCTCAACGAAGAGAGAATGCGTCGAGCCAACCCGCTTGCGCGGCGAACACTGCGACGCTTGTCTACCTTTGGATTGCTGCCCTGGACAGCGGGGGTGGCCTCACTGTGAGCATAAGCCTATAGGATTGTCCATTCTCACTTTGTGGATTTCACATGTCATGCTTACGGGAGCGATTCATCCACTTAAATTGATCGTAGAATGTGCCTTTAAGTCGTTATAGTAGTAGCAGAATTAGGCTAAAGCAACCACAAGTGTAGCTATCTATGAATTTCCTACCACATTCCTTACTTCTTCGTTGGGTTGCATTCTCTCGTCATGCTCAACCATGACATCCTCCTATGATTGGTTCCATCCGCACTACACTAGTGTGACCCTAGGGCATGAGATCACCACTTTAGAAAGTCTCCACTAATTTTTTTTTTCGATCGCTATCACAAGATACAGTGGCATTGTGGTGGCAACTTTTATACTTTTATAACTGAGTAAAACATGTCCTGTTCTTTGAAAGGGGACTAAGCCATGGGTTGGGGAGGAGAGATTCCAGGATGTATGATCAGTTTCATTTTCCCCAAAGCTCCTGCCCACTCCTAGGTTATTCCTGGAGGATGTCCCCGTGTCTTGCGAAAGTTCTTTTTTTGCTCAACTTCTCTCCCGTCATCTTTCCCTTTTCATGTGCAATTTTGGTTTCAATTATTGTTAACAGCGCTCTCAATTCACTCAGATTTGGAGGAAACGTAAGTACGGACTTGAGCTCACTTCAATTCAAGGCGATTCACAGGAACCTGATGGGGCTTGGTGGAGAGATCAGATTCATAAATGACACTCCCTAATCGGAAAATGCATGGACTCGAGATCACATAATAAAAATAATTTTATAATTTTTTAAATATTTTTTTGATATGAATAATTTTTAATCAGCTCTGTTCTTTTGAATAGTGTCGCCAGCAAGTGGCCATCTATCTTTATTACCGCTGTGCAATAAAAAAAAATGAAAAAATAAAATCACAAAGAGCTCATAGCTCACGGTAAACAGCAGATCAGAACAACTTTAACACCCTTGACCGTCATACTCGTTTCATCTATCAAGCCTTAGCATTCATCTGTCATCATCTATTTCAACTTCCGAACATTTAATCCATCGAGAATTAATCGCACCATTCGTGTTCATCTATCTTAATTGATCTAATTTTTTTATAGAGTCGGACGTTTCAAAGCGGTGTTTTGGGAGGTTTTTCTTGGGAACACCGTCGATCGCGGACTGGATATTCGTCTACAGACGTGTGAAAACATTGATTTACTAATGCGGTGTTCTAATGGAATTTGTTTCACAAGAATGCTGGGTTGTGAACAAAACTTTCGCCCCAGGCGGGACTAGAACCCGCACCTCTCGCTTTCCGGGCAAGTGCGCTACCAGTTACGCTACCGGGGCACCATTTCATTTCAATCGTTTCTTCACCGTAGCTTATCAGCACTCGTAATGAGCAGAATATTCTTGTAAACCTTTCTCAAGTCGTACTGTGGCCAAAAACAGCAGTTACCAATCAGAAACGTTGATTTGTTATGATGATTTTTTTTCGTAAGTAAGTAACGTCTCGCAAACAAAAGGGGGCTGGTTCGAAGTCGAAGTTGATTTAAAACTGCTTTTTCATTTTTACAAGTTACACTTTTTTGATTATGGAAACTCCAACGATCGTCTTCCACTGATGGCAGAGGCTGATCAATGATTAATATTCAAAAAATAGAATCACAAGAGAGCTGGGTTTGGGCAAAACACCCCGTCTCAGGTGGGAATTGAACCCGCACCTTTACTTTCAATTCAATTCACTTCACCTTCGACAATCAAAAAACGCACATATATTAGTTCTTGATTTGCGTTGTTGTTCGTTTTTACGTGTTTACTATCACATTTGTATTATTTTTATTTTTCACATGTTTATTGCTGATTGTTACAAAGTTCAAAGAGAGATTTTGCGGTAAGCGAGTAAATCAAATAAGACATGGGTGAGTCTAAAAAGGAGTTCTCTGACAGGCATAAAGAAACCATAAAGCTTTTGCCCTTGAAAATCCCTTTTGGTGTGCGGCATGCACTCTACGTCCATTTGTAAATCGTGGTGGCACTTGAATACGGCTCACTTGCACAATGAATAACTGCGGGGAGCAGCTGATGTACAAGTCAGTATTTTATTCTTGAAAGGCAAAGTTTGTACCACATTGATAATAGAGTGGATCAGAAGGCCTTGGTGAGGGGAGACGCGGCTGTCATGGATTTGTCCCCGGCGTCGACGTACTTTACAAGCACTTCCACCCTTACAGAGATAATGGCTTAAAAAAGGAGATAAAGAAGCCTTAATAAAGAATCAACAAAAATTTCGTTCGTGAACGCAATCCGATTAATACTATACGAGAACCACAGAACATGGTTAATTTTCTTTCCCTCTGAATACCAAAAAAGAGCGTCCCTGGTTCGATTTCTCTGTGGCGGTAACAAACTTTTGCACTTCAATTCGACGTGGTTACTGACGGTCTTAATTATGAATATGGACATTCATAGTTCATGCTAACTCCATTTTGCGCGAATTTTGAAACGTCAACTCGAAATGCAAAAATTTGTCACCACGAGGAATCGAACTAGGGACCCCTTTTTCTGGTATTCAGAGGGCCGTTCAGGAAAAATTAACCATGGTTCTGTGGTTCCCGCATGTGCCCCTATATCATGCAAAAGACCGTTTTGAAAAAGCTTGGCACGCCCTGAAAGACCTTCCTGGTTAGTCACTGCCTCCGTCACACTTGTGTTATCATTGTTCACTCTTTTGAATGTTTCTTTGCTATTTTCTTCACATCTCCGGTAAATCCTTGGTCTTCGAGTGGGCCTCCGATTACGGTATTACCGTACCAGTTAAGGGACACTGGTATTCATTTTACTTTCCACTCCTCTGAAGCACAGTCCTCTTTGCCGTCACATGTTGAATTTTGGGAATATGAGGTTGAATATTATAATAACAAAATACAATCAATGATGGATCAATATATATATATGATGAATAATTACTATTAATTCTTATAGAATATTGTTAGCTCTATAAATCCAATTCCCAGTTTGGAGGTACGATACGAGTCGCCTCGAAAAGCAACGATGTGCCTTGTTATTTTGCTTCAATGTCTCGTCATTCTATGGACGTAATCGCTGATCTGAGCGAACGAATAGAGAATTAGAATTATGCTCAATCATCGACTCGAGCGAGAAATGAGAAAGAAATGACAACAATCAGTTCAGTTGGAGATTTCGAGACGCTAGAAAACTAGGTGTTAAAAAAACCGGCAGTGACAATGACGGCAATGACGTTTCCAAACTCCCCGTGAGTTCGAGGAGCATGCTGATTTTGGAAGGCGAAATAGTACCAGCGCTCTGGATTATATCATTCCCTTGTAAGGGAGAATTCAATAGAAAATTTTCTTGTCTTAAAGGGCTTCACATAGCTCAAGATAGATGGATCTTGTCTTAAATAAGAGTAGTTTAATTTCCGCAAAAAACCTAAAATGAGATTTATAGCAGAGCGAATCGATTATCTGAGAATCATGATAAAGGGCTTCCTGACATATGCAGTTCGTTCCTTTCAACCCCCATAAGTTTGTGGTAAATGGTCAATTTGGTTTCTGTAGGAACAGCTGTTCTCAGGAGTTTATACTTTCAAAAGTTCTACATACTCCAACAAGATTTATCATTGTTAGGAAAGGGCGGAATGATGTAGTGGCAAGTGGCGCGCTACCACGCGAGCGGTCCGGGATCAAATCCTGGGTCGTGAGTCGCCCGGGCCAACCAAGCCTTCCATCCCTCCGGGGTCGGTTAATTGGTACCAGACTTGTCTGGGAGGATAAAAACACTGACTTGTACATCGGCTGGCCCCGCAAGTCATTGTATAGGCCACATCGCATTCAAACGCCACTACGAATGTACAAATGGAAGTAGAATGCGTGCCGCATCCCAAAAAGGGATTGATCAACGGCAAATGCTTTATCCTTTTATTATCAAATAAAATCGTAAGCAAATCAAGGGATGAGGGCTAGATCGGTCCATTTGGGGGCGCCCTATCCACTCCGATCATGTGATGCGAGTGAGGAAAGATCAAGCTGTCGTGTCCGAGAAAGGCTGCGACAATTACAACTGGGAATCGTTTGAGCTTGAGCATCAGGATAGTAGTAAGAGCCTTTATTTGGGCAGGGGAGGCCCGCTCAACTGTTGCCGCGCTCCGATGCGATAGCCGCGACGCGACCGCAAGCATCTTTTTTTGCATAAGGTTGCGGTGAAGTGATGTGAAGTTTGCACCTCTGCCTGAAGTTGCATGTCACACGGGTCGCATTGTTCCGTCACAGTAACATGAACGATTTATGGCGGTTGCATGCTGCTTGATGGAACTGTGAAGGGGATACCGAATGAGAGCGGCAGTCAGACACTTTCAAGGTCTCTGCACAGCCAGTAGTTCCGCATTCAATTGATGGCCGCATTTAACACCCCTTGCTTGATGCTCATAGCGGTGTCGGGTTTCAAGTCTCACTTCAGACGGTTTTTCACCTCTATGCGGCAATTACAATCATTCAGTCGTTGCGCTATACGTCATTCGCATTTCGTTCTCCGAAAAAAACACTTCGAATTAAACGTCTCTTTTCAGAACCTCTCACGGCGACGACGATGACCATATTGGTGGTGGCCATCGTCTTCGGAGCGATAGTTCAGTCTGTTCGCCCACAAGTCGCCTCAAAAGCCGGTAAGTCCCTTGTCGCTTATGGCTGATCAGATCAAGAACGGGTTAGTAGTTACTATAGTACGGGTTAGTGTTGAGTAGTCCTGTTGAGCTCAAATATAACCATGGAATCAAAACTTGGTTCATGAACTGGTTCTTCTCTACTTATCTTCATTACAAAAAATATTACTTCAAATACAAAAAAAAACTGAAGGGTCGTACAATAAGGGAGAGCAGGGCATTTGTGTGCAAAGCAGCCGCAGCTGGTAAATTCGGGATGAAAATTATTTTATTATAGAGATCAAGAAAAAGCGATACTCAAACCAAGTTTATTCTGCACAAGGGACTTATATTTCTGACTTTCCCTTCCAAAAATAGGGTTGACGGACTAACTTTCTTCTATAGTCCTGCTACGAATGACCCGGGCTCAGACGGTCAGAGAGCGGCACCTGGTTTGGCTCCAGATCCCAAGGAGGAAGGCGAGAGCCTTAAGAAGCCTTAGAGAGTGGGACCCCGGGGGGGGGTGAGCCAACTACAATGTGGCAAATTTCAATGTGTAGATCACAGTGGGCATAACGAGACAGCGCAGAAAAGCATCGAATTGAGACGGCTCAAGGAGGAGTTCTAGTAGTCCGTAGACTATTAGGATTAGGGTCGACCGTAATTCGACGAAATACTGCACTGAAATGCCCCTTCGTTATTTTAAGCGGGTTTTTTATATAGGTTTTTTTCCAAAGCTGCATGGTTGTTCCACCAAAGAACCTTTTCATTGTTTTTTGCTGGTCGTGTTCCAAACCAGTCTTCAGAATGATCCTCGCGCAAAATTTGTCAAGAAGCGAATAATGAAAACTGACCAAAAAATGTGTACAGGTCATTTATCACTAGCGAATCGCCGACGATCGGTTTCTGTTGGGATGTTGCGAAAGCTGTTTGGAAGAGAAAGGTGGAACTGTTGCGATATGGGCTTTCGCAACACAAAGGCAATGATAGATTCTTATTGACACCTTGTTAAAGATTTTTCTGGACTCGCTTATGCTGCCCTTCACCTTTTGCCCATATCGCTTCTATTATGCCGGGCAGGAGCCTTCTGATTGAAATCGTAGAATCGTTGAA